GATCCAGAGTCTTGAATTTGCCGTCTCGAACGCATCAGCTATGGGCGTGACCAAGAAAGAGCTACCGCTGCTCCAGCACAATGGCTACACGGCCACCAGTCCCACAGCTTCGTCCGTGTCGTCGTCCTACTCGCGCGTGGCTTCGGAGGAGCTCATCGTGCCTGCGCCCGACAGCGTCAACTCGGTCTACTATGGCGTCGACGCCTTTTCGCCCACGCTCGTGGATTTCTACACAGTGGACCAGAAACGCATTGTCTGGTCTTCACGGGCTCACCGCAAGATCATGACGACGCTCTACCGCGCGTGGCACGGCAAACACTGGAAGGTCTACTCGCTCAGCTTCTGGGGTGGTCTCTGTGCCATGGTGGCCTTTCTCTTCTTTCTAGCAGGTGCAGCAGGCGAGGCCGTGGCTTTCAGTGCCAGTGACTCGGGCGACGCGATCACTACACAGACACTCGAGCGACAGGTGCATTCGTCCGTGGACTTGCCATTGCTGCTGGCTGCTGTGTTCTTTCTGGCGTACCACGCCATCACGTACTTGGAAGTCATTAACTGCTGCCACAACCTCGAGATTTGGCTCGAGGAGTATTTTCACGGTACGGAGCCCGTTCTTGAACGTCAGTACGTCGGCTTCTTTCCCAGTCGCATTGACTTTTGGACGACCATCTTGGGTATGTTTGGCTCCATGCTCTACGTCTTTGCTCGAGCTTATGTGTGGGTAAAAGGCGACATGGAGAATTTCGGCATTGTCAACGTCAAGCGCGATGACTTGAGCCTCATTGTTGGATATTGGGTGCCCTTCTTTGCCGGATCGTTTCTGCTGCTACTTAGCGCCTACTTGGCGCATGTCGAGGTTGTGCACCAATGGTTTTCATGCCGACTCACGACACTCGAGACTTGGATCACTGGTACGTTCAGACTGCTTCTTTGCCACGCTGACTTGCTGTCAGGAGAGCACTTACTGACTCGTTTCCTTCCTTTGCTCTTTCTGCAGGTTTGAACATGCTGGCAATGGTCGGGTTTTTCCTGTCGTCAACGCTGCAATTCATGGACCCGTTTTCGGCGCTGTTTTCGTTCCAGGCGTGCGTCATGCCTTTTGCATCAGGCTGTGTGCTGGGCCTTGCTTCGAGTGTGCTCAGCCTCATGGAACTGGAGAAGATCCACAAACGTCACAAGCACCCGGAATACGGTCTGTACGCGTGTCCCGCTGGTTATGGGACTGCTGCAAGCTACGGGTCGTTCAAGCAGCAGCAGCAGCAAGTATAAGTAGTAGATTAAAGCAGCTGATCTGTCCACACAATACAGAGCACAGCTCAGAGACAGATTTAAATACTTGTGTCTGCCTTTGGTTGTTCGTGCGCTTCGTTTGCAGCTCCGGACTTCGTTACCGTCTTAATCCTCGATTTGATCCACAGCCATCATGACCACATCACGCAAAAAGCGCCTTGAGGAAACGACCTCGGCTCTGGATATCGGCGTTCGTCGGGTACGTCGCAATGGCCTTGTGGACCAGCGCCACCTGTGACTTAGCTACGACCACATTTTCCTCTGTCCCGAGCAGCCATCGGCATGTTAGCGACACTATTGTTTTCATCCTCTTCTAGCCAGCAAAACAAATCGAACCCGTATTGGAGCAAAAGACCAGCAGCGCCCAGCAGCCTTCGGCTTGTACAGCCACGTTCTCCAGATGTGTCTCCATTGCCTTGAGCACAGCGGCAATTGCACCTTGTTCGCGAACTCGCACTAGATTTGGCACTACCATTCCGACATGTCACCGTATCATTACATACGAATGCCCTCTGAAGAGCCTACTCAGCAACAAAAACTGCGCCAAAACGCACAGCAATGGAATGCGACATTACGCAGGGCGTGGCAGCCGTCTTCCTGCACAGTTCCATTCGCAATATTGCGCTCCATGGCATCGACAATAGCCTCGATCGCTCCAGCTTCGCCTGCCACTTCTTTGCCCATCACTTCGATGACCCACGTGGACAGCAAATAAAAAAAAATCATTTTATATCCTGCCGTTTCACGTCGCTGAAACCAAGAGCTGCAACTTACGATCGTTGAATGTGACATGTGCGAGTTTCGCCAACCCCTCAATAGCAACAAGGGGAGAGTCACTGTGCACCATCACAATGGCCTCGGCGACATCGCGGTGTATGGCCCCACTTCCAGTCTGCTTACCTTCACTCGGTGATCCACCCGCGACAACCATTATTGTTCGTTTTTTCCACTCCGTCACTAATTGTCTGTTTTGTGCACTGGAGGTCGATACAAATCACGTGACAAACACACATATTCCCACATCCCCAAACGAGTCTCTTACTTCAGTCCTTTTCCCGCTCTCGTCCCCAAAATAAAACCACCGCACCTAAAGAGTCGCGCTGCAATCTTACTTCAGCGACGCCAGTAGCACATTTGTAGCCATGGGCAACAAACAAGCCAAACCCACGCCGCCGCCTGCGAGTGCCTCACGCAGTGCGCCGTCCTCGGCACCCGCGTCCACACCATCGTGTCCTGCTCCTATTGAAGCCTCTCCGGTCTGTGAACTAGCGCCTGCCCCTTCCAGCGCTCCGCTTGCGCCCTCGTCCACAGCCTCGTCAGCACCTCCACAGTCGCTGCTCGAGACCAAATTGGCCGACGTGGACGTGTCTGCGATCTTTTCGCCCTACGAAATGCGCTCAATCCGCAAGCACTTGGCGGCGGTTCTGGGACAGCACGAGAAGGACGCAGTGGTGATTCCCAAGGACGAATTCTTTCGCTTCTTGGCAGGTGGAGACGGCAGCACGTCGAGTCTCTATGCGAATCGCTTGTACGCGATCTTTGACATGGAAAAGAAGGGACATGTAAGGAGATGGTTGAGAGAGAGAGAGAGAGGGTGGTGGCTTGGCTGTGTCTCTATCTGTTGTGTGTGTGGAGAGTGTGATGGTGGATTACTTGGTTGTTTGACGGTCGTTGTGGATGTGTTATGTACCTATATCTTGTGTGTCGCTGTAGGTAACCTTTGAGAATCTCATGAAAGGGTTATCGCTGCTGAGTCAGAAGGCCACTCGTGAACAGAAGCTGATGCTGTCTTTTTACCTGCTGGATCCCAAAGGCACGGGAGTCATTACGAAGAAAATGACGACGGAACTGCTGCGCTCGTGTCTCGATGAATGCAACGGTGAGGGACCTTTTCTTTCATTTTTGCGTGGTCGATGAAGGCTCGCTGTGGCAAGATTGTGTACGTTTCTTTACTGCGTTGCTGACGGTGTGAACTGTGACTGTAGAGTTGGAGATCTCGCTCTCGGAGACCCAGCTGGCCCATATTGTGGACAACACGTTTGTGGACGCCGACTTGGACCACAATGGAGTCATTGATTTGAACGAGTACCAGGTGCGTCTCGCTGTGACTTTGTTGAGAAGTTGTGCGAGAGATCAACAGTGTGGATGACTTACTTACTGACCTGTGCTTGTGCTCTGCAGGCTCTCGATGCAAAGCACCCGGGACTGTTTGACTTCCTCACAGTGGACGCTTTCGGCGTACTGAGTCACCTAGAGAAAGTGCACTCGATGAGCGTCACCGTGCCTCAGCACTGAGTTGAAACTAACTTGTGATTCACACCAGGCTACGTCACTACGCGCTCCTTATCAACAGAATAGCAAGGCACTTTTCAACTGTCGCGTGTTGCAAGTCCAGTGTATTTGCATGCCTCTCATGTTCTCTTACTTCTTCGATGGCAGCTCCGCGGGCGTCATACCCGTGATGCCGTACAGGGCAATGTATGCTTGCTGTCTCTTGATGATGCTCGTGGAGATGGCGCTCTTCTTGATTCCAAGACCCCACTTTTCCTCAAAAACGGCGGCAGTAGTCGGGGCGGGTGCAACTGCTTTCGGGAGAGGCGTTACTGGAGCTGACGGGATGGCAGGTTGAGTCTTGATCTGGTTCGTGCTCGGCGAAGTCGCTGCCACGGGCTCGCTGATCGTAGAGCTCATGACTTCCTCCTCCTTCTTCGGCATATCATCCTCTTTCGAAAGCACATCACCTACAGGTATAGCTGTCTCTTCCTCCAGCTTGAACTCCTTGAAGGCAGCAATCGACTCCACCTCGTCGCACACAACCATCATGGGCTGCCCTACAGGGACGTTCTCCGTACCCTCCGGGATGAGGATCTTGGCCAGAAACATGTCGTCCGTGGCCTCGTAATCGACCACGGCCTTGTCGGTCTCAATTTCGCACACAACGTCCCCAGCAGAAATGGCGTCGCCCTCCTTCATGTTCCACTTGGACATGTTGCCGGTCTCCATTGTCGGTGATAGCGCTGCAAGTACCAGAGGAAGAACCGGGCATAGTCTTCCGTGGTCAATGATATTGTAAATGTACCACGCTATTACAGTTATCTCGACGTACATGGCAGTCCAATGACCTCGTGGGGAGGGTACGAAGCGAAGGTGCGTGCGAGACGAGCGACGGGACGCCGTTGGACCATAGAGCGGCGTAGGCGGAAGGCGGTGCGAAGCATGGCGAGAGAAAAGAGAAGCACAAGCCTCGTCAATGGGTCAAGGAAGCACGTCCTGAATCAAGCACCAGTCTGTCTATTCGTGTGTTGACTTGGCTGTTTGGATGCCGCTTGTGTCAAAGACAAGCGCAAGGGGACTGAACTGGAGATTGATTGGTCACCCGCTCATTAAACATCGTAATCATCGGCACGGTCGGTACAGCTAACCATGCACTTCTCGGCGGTACTTCCTACTCTACCATTTCCTAGTCGTCCTTGCAATCTTCATTGACAACGAACTGCACTGCTACCATCAAGGAGGAAAAACCTACAGCCACTGCCTCATAAGATGTTCTAGTTGCAACGTTGAAATGTAGTCAGCTTCGATCGCTGCGGATACAGGCTTGTAACCTCTAATTCGAGGCTCGTTCTCTAGCTTCAACTTGATCGGTGACGCTCCAGCTCTGCGGTTCCATTGGTAATTTCCGCGTCCGTCTCAGTCTCGATGTACACAGTCCTTTACGCTTGTCGCGGCAGGATGACACATCTCCTTTCGGATGTGCCATCTTCCGCAGGGTGTCGATCGTCTTTTCCTGGCGACAATGAGGACGAATTTGACATGCTTGTGCTGGTGTCGACTGTCACTGTCGAAAAGGAATGAAGATCTTCGAGCTCGGACCTGTTGACCCCGTTGATCACGCGCATTCCTTGGAGACCAAGCGCTTCCACATGACGAAACAGATCTGATGCAGCTACCAGACGCGCGCGTAAAACCTCCGGATCATTATTGTCGTGAGTAACGCTGGATAATGAAAAGCGGTCAGTTCTGTTTGAGGCTTGCCGCTGTGCTGAAACGTACCCTTCTGCAGAGATACCTGCTGGTGACGTTATGGCCACGCGCATGGCGGCCGCCTCTTTCTTTTTGCACTGGCGTTTAGGACAACGCACAACGAAAAGTCGTAAGTCATGATGAGAAAATATGTCCGAAACATCACATGATATACGCACCTCTTCTTCTCGACTTGCAAGCTGGGCATGATACGTCTCGAGCTCGCATCGAAAGGAGGAAATCGAGTCGTGTAACTGCTGTCGCTCGTTTTCATCAAAGCTGCTGTTGGCGTTAGCACGAGCTGCTGCTGCAGCAGTGATATCTGCTTTGGTAGCTTTGTCTTCTGCGGCAACAACCTTTTCTTCTGCAATAGCCAGCAGGCCAACAATCTCCGCACTCTCTTCTTTCAACACTGCAAGCTTCGACTCCAAATCAGCTACCTTGTTCTCGCACTCGGCCAATTGATCCGCTTTTGTGGCAATTGTTTTTTCCATAGCAGTGACCTTCTCGCGCAAGCTTGTGAGTTTGTCTTCGCACTCACCCAGCGCCTCGTCCTTTGCACTTTGCAACGCCCGTAGTTTCTCGTTCTCATTGACCAGTGCAGCCATTTTCTCGCTCGCTTCTCTTCGCTGTTCGTAATGTTCTGCTTCAATCTTTTGCTGGTACTTCTTCGTTTCTTCAATAAGCTTTCCCGCCATTTCCTGTGACAATGCCTTGCGATCTAACTCAAGGCTTTTCGTAGAAGCTTGTTTGTTCTTTGCATCTATGGCCCTCTGTTTCGTATCCAACTCCTCTCGTAGTCTAGTAGTTGCTGTCAAAGCGGCCTCCTTCATTTTCATTTCCCTTTCGCTCTCCATAGCGGCCAAATCTGCTTTTAATTGGAGATTCTCAACCGAAGCTGCCTCCAGCTTTTCCATCAAGTCCAGATTGTCTTTCGTCAGTTTGTCTACTTGAGACGCCACACTTTGCTCGAGCCCTTTTCCCATCACTACAACAGCTTCTCCAGCCTTGAGCTGGCTTTCGACTGCATCAATCTGACTTCCTGCAGTCTCAGGTTTACTCTCAAACTCTTGCGTTGCAGCTTGCACGACTCCGGCCTCCGCGTGCGCTCGTTTGCGCTTCTTTTCTCGTAGGTGCGGTGAATCTGCTGGTGTAGTACACTGCGTTACTGCTTCGAATGGCTCACCGACAACAGCCGTCATTTCGGCATCATCTGGCACTTCGTTCACTTTGGTCTCTGCAGTTACTGGCTGCCGTCCAACAAAACTGATGCGAGAGAACAAGCACCAAACACGATAGCAATCCGTCAACAAACCACCTCCAGTGTTCGATGATAAAAGAGCCACAATGCTCGCTGCGCGTACTTGAGAAACTCCAGCTTGAAAGCCATTGGAGTAACCCCTGCACAACAAAAACGAACAATCAATTACCACCATTTCACGCGTGAACAGAACATAGCTGCATAGTATGACAATCGTGTACACCCATCATGTAGTACCTGCTGGAGTTGCGCCAGGCTTTGTAAAGTGCACCGTATAGCCCCTGTCGAGCCGCACCGAGACTCCTTTGCCTACGCGATCTGCATTGACCCAAATGCCATTTCGACTGCAAATTGAAGCATTGTCTTCCATCAGTGTTCCAAAATGCATTGTGACGAAATCACCGACTAGTCCACAAACCTGTTGTCCTGGAGCTTGATAACGGGCTCACCCGTAGCGTTCGTGTTGTCCCGCTGCACGACGCAATGCTTTCGAAAATTACAACACCAATCAGCACACACACAGTACAAAATCATCATTATTAAGTCTTCGACCCTTTTCAGCCATTGACTTATCCGTCGATTATCGTCACTTGGTTTCGTTTATCATGTACATATTCCTCATTTATCATACCACGCTGCTGATAAATAGCTGGTTGATCACGTGGTCACAGCGCCGTTTGTTGCGGCCAATTGTCGTGACTGCATTCGTCAAGTAAATGTGATCGCTGTCTTCTGCCGGATCTTTGGACACCAGTGTCAAGCGTCCCCATGGCTCTGCCGCCTGCTGTTGGACTGTCATAATTGCCCGAATGCAAAAAACGACATAGTGATACGCTGGGGCCGTATTTCGGACCAATCAGTAGGGCCGACTCTCCTGATTCTCCGGTGAGTAAATCTCACTATCAGCACCATCCTAGGTCAAAAGTCTCATTATCAGCACCAGTCCCAAAAGTAGCACCAGCCGATAAATATATTAGTGTAGACCACATTAAATTAATTATAAAATGAGCTTGTGACCAACGCGTTTTTTTTAAAAAAAGGTAGATAGTCGGGGAATGCGCTTTGCGATTCGACGCGACGTGCGATGCGTGAGCGAGATATGCGTGACGACAGGAACGTGTGCGGTTCGTTACATGATTTTGCGCATGGTTTGGCTAGGAACTGACGCAGGGTCTGTTGGAAGATCATGTGCATTAAGTGTATATGAGCCGCCACCGTGAAGAGACAGTGTCTAATTTACTGCGAAGGGTCGCAGGAGCAAGACTAATTTCTGCGAAGGGTTGCCGTGTGCATGATCGAGGTCTCTTTTTAACTGCATTAATACATTTTATTCCCCATTCTACTCTGTTGTACACACGCGCAAATCTTGCTGGTTGCCAACAGGCTATGAACCCAAGTTTAAGGACTTGCTGTAACGGGGCACCCTGAAGCTTGTACTGATGACAGTACAAGCTACTTATTCTGACGACAGAATAAGGCGGTGCCTCGGTACTTCACGTACACTCGTACGTGCAGAGGAAGACGGTAAGAAGAAGCGAGTACTTGGTTAAAGTAAAAAGTACAACTGTATTTATCATAGTTAATGTCTGTTAATAAACCACTGCATCTAACTATGTCTAAATACAAATGTGCATATCAACTATCTGCTCACCACTCATTGCGTGCGTCTGTCGTGGCGCGTCTTCGTTGGTTGATATAATGGCCTATATCAACCAATTAGGAACTACTCGTAAGTGCTGCATAATATTTGTCCTTATGACAATATCTGAGAATATAACTTTAGTAGTTACATTCTATTAACAGTTTCTTATAAATTGTTATGCAACGATTCACCCCGTTACATCACCCCCCCCTTAACCATCAGTCACTTTGGTGACTGATTGACTAAATGGATACTCGTCCCAAATCATTTTGGACAGGGTTTGCACTTGTGTGTCCGAGTCCACTTTCCAACAATTCATCGCATGGTTAACAAGCCCATGCGATGCGCGAGCAAGGCCGCCGAGAGCGCGTCCGCACGTCTCTGTGCGGACGCCGAAGCAGAAACTACAGCAACTGATGTCTCATCGGTTGCTGAAGCGACTCAGCCTGTGTCACCTGGTGATGCAGGCGCTCGTCATGAAGACACTCATGTCTTCACAAGGTACGAGCTCGGTGTCTCATACTCTCCTGATACGGAAGACGGATCCGTATCGACGGCGATTGAATACAAGCCGCCTGCCAAGCGTGGCATGGATGATGCTATGCGTCGCAGCATCTTTGGTTCATCTGATGAATCAGATGAACCATCGCCGAAGCGAAGGCGCTCGAGGTCGCGAGACTCGGGCGCTAACAGTGGTGTCGGTTCTCCTATTGACACCACTTCGCAACGAGGTGCCAGTACTTCTGTCGGCACGTCGCAAGAAGAGCAGGACCGCAACGTGTTGCGTCTCGCTTCTGAAAAGAAGGCCTGATGCCTCCAAAGTCAGTCACGGATCACTTGTCGGCGACGACGAGTGATCGTTATCGAACACGATTGTTCGATTCGTCAAGGATCCGTCACCTTGACCCCAGTGCGAAAAACTATCGCGCTGAGAATGAGTTCTTTATCGATGCTTTCTCTAAGCATCGATGGTACAGTGGGAATCACAAACGTAATGGTCCCTCACTGCTTCAAGTGTGGAACGCTTACATCCATAACCTTGAGGATGTAGGTCGTGACGCTTGGAATGACAAACTTATCAAAGCCCGTGATAAGTTTGAGAAAGAACCCCGACAGGTGGACGCTACAAGCTGCATCGTCTTCATAGGGAGAAATGCTTACCCTGCCTCTCCTGGGGAGACTCGTGCCCATGTTGTGTGAGCAACTCTACACGAGCACCTAAGGAGGCTTACCTCCTTACTAGCCCGTGGTGGCGCGTACGTATCTCTACTGAGATGCACGAAGGGATTGATAACCTGAAATCCCTTTACGAACGTGCCGGGAAGACTTTCTCCGGCGGTCCTTCTGCGGCACAGGATGTGCCGCATCGTACTGCTCGACCAGACCCAGTACGTCAACCATCAGTTGGGAGCGGGGCTCCCAAGTATCCCAGGACGGGGGATAGCCGCGCCACCGGACGAGATAACTCGTCCGACGTCCGTTCACGTCGAGGTGGTTCAACAGCTGCTCAACTAGATAGCGCTGGCCACCGCGAGAGTCCTCTAATGGAGGTGGAGGAGGAGGGAAGACGTTCTCCACACGATAGTGGGGAAGCGTGTGTTCTCGAGAGCTTCTTTGATCGCGTAACGCAAGGGTTACGCGGCGATCTCGAACATGAGCGGGACAGGCGTCTCCAACTGGCGGACACTGTCTCGAGGCATCGAGCTGAGTTTGCCTTTGCTCAGCTTGAGAACGAGAGAGCTCTGACGTCTCTGCGTGACGAGCTAAGGGTAGCTCGTGGGCATGTTGATCGGTCCCGGGCTGAGATAGCTTCTCTTCAGACCCTTGTCGATGCCCACCATCGGGAGCACAAGGCTCTCTGCGAGATGCTTGAGCGCAAGGGCGTTCTTCATCGGAAGAAACAGCGTACTGATGGTACGGCTTAAGCCGACCAACGTAAAACGTGGGATGCGTTCGCATCTTACGTGGCAACTCGATCGTGTATGCATTGCCTAGGCGGTGCAATACACGAAATGGGCCGATGTACTTGGGTAGAAGTTTACTACTACCCAAGTTAGTCACTACATGCTTTGGTAGATTAACCGTAGGCAGTAGGACTAAGTCACCCTTATTGAATAAAAGAGTGTTTGCCCTTCCATTCTTGTCAGCGTTTTGCTTTTGCTTATCCACCGCTTCGGCGATGGAGTCTTGCACAAAACGGACTACCGTTTCACGAGCCAGTATGAACTCATCTGATGACTCGTTAGCTTCAGTGCGCTGTGAGTGCACTGCAGCAACATCAATCTTTTCTTCAGTGAGGGCTTCCGCACTCTCACTGACATCATGTTCTTCGATATCGATGTTATCGATATCGGCATCAAACGCAATGACCTCTTCGTCAGAGCGTGATGAGCGTGAACCAAATCGGTTTTTGCTCGCGCGAGTCCTTCCCCCCTTAAACCAGAGTTACGCTCTAGTAAGGTGGGTACACGCGGATGGCGTAAGCCATTCACGTAAAACGGTGTATGGGTCGTGGACGCATGCACCAACTTGTTAATGGCAAACTCTACCATTGGCAAAAACTCACTCCAACTTTAAAAGGAGTGTACGTATCCTCGAAGTATCTCTTCGAGGACACGATTGGCACGTTCCGTCTGAACATCTGACTCTGGATGATCAGATGTAGACATCTTCAAGCGCGTTCCGAGTGATTTGAACACGGAACGCCAGAAATCAGCAGTGAATCGTGGATCTCTGTCCGATACGAGTTCACGGGGCAACCCATGAAGTCGGAAGATGGTGTCAATAGAGACAAAAGCACAGCCACTTGCCGTGATTGACTCTGGTACAGCAACAAGGTGTACTATTTTGCTGAATCTGTCAACAAATACGAGAATACCCGAATACTTGCGTGCGTCGTTGGGCAACCCGAAGACGAAATCCATTGAGATGAATTCCCAGCACTTAGCCGGAACCGGTAGAGGCTGTAAGGGTGCACGCAGTGAAGGACTTGACTTCACTCGTTGGCAGACTTCGCACGCGCTAATGTACTTTCGCACAAACTGATACTGGCGGGGCCAGTAAAAGTCTCGACACACCGTGAGATATGTTTTTTCACGGCCACGATGTCCTCCTATAGGAGCATCGTAATACTCGAACATGATCCGCAAACGCAGATCAGTATCATCTGGAATGACAACACGTGGTGTGTCACCAGAAACGGCTGTATAATACAGTAAACCGTTGCGAGTAGTGTATCGATCTGATGCAGATCGATACGCAGACGACAATCGTTTCAACGATTCTAGAGATGGCTGTGAGAGATGTGTCAACAACTTCACCATCTCACCATCTTGGGCGTATGCCCGCCTCACATCATCATGAAACGTTGAAGATGGGACTGAGGACTTCATAACCGCAACAGTGGCTGTCTCACTGTTGGGTCTCACGACTGGTTCCAAGTCGGGACGACGTGAGAGTGCATCAGCGACGACATTAAGTCGTCCTGGTTTGTACTCTACCGTAAAGTTGTATTCTGCAAAGAATGACAACCACCGCGCCATTCGTTGTGAAAGGTGAGGGCTGTTCACTGCCGTGCGTAATGACGCATGGTAAGTGTAAACAACGAAGGGTCTATCTCCTAATAGATAGACTCTGAACTTCGCGAGTGCATACTTCATGGCAAGGAGTTCCTTGTCATGCACTGGATAGTTCCGCTCAGCTGGTTGCAGCTGACCCGACTGATAGCAGACGACGCGCTCAACGCCTTCAAGATCGTACTGCATTAATGCACAGCCGATTGCAAAGTCGCTGGCATCACAGACCACATGAAATGGCCTGTCCTTATCGGCAATTGCTAGGACTAGGGATTGTATCAAGCTCTGCTTGATACCACCAAAGGAGCGCTGACATTCAGCGTTCCATAACCACCTATCGTTCTTTTCAACAAACGAGAGAGGTGTACAGTCATCTCGGCGTAATTGCGTGAATACTTGTGCAAATACGCCGCTATCCCAAGGAATTTTAGAAGACCTTTGACGTCAACCGGCACAGGCCAGTCGGTGATCGCCTTGATCTTTTTGGGATCAGGACGTACGCCGTTCGTACCAACGATGCACCCAAGAAGTGGTATTTCGCTTGCTGCAAATATACACTTCTTGAGGTTTGCATACAATTGA